AACGGACAGACAGACAGACAGACAGACAGACAGACAGACACAGAGGCGATGGCATAAGCCCGCTTATATAGCTTTTAAGCAAAAGAGCGGGCTAAAAATAGGAATCTTGTTAGCGGGGGGAACGTGGCTCCAAGGGCCCAATGCACATGAATTACGAAGCACAGTACAACAACATGCAGTACACACACACCGCGTCCGCGTGCTTGCCCAAGATGGGCAGGGCCGACCGGCACTGGGCAGGAAGGGGGTCACAAATACTTCACAATCTTGAAACAAATGGCATCACTTCAAACTCACCTGTTGTCTGTCTGGGACTCCGATGCAGGCTCAAACCATGCAGGTTGCGCAGCTGTTTGTTGAGAGCCGACGGGGAGCCCTTGTACCCTAGACCCTTCCTCCACACTTTGCACTCAGCGTGAAGAGGGTCTTCTGCAGTGGGCCCATGAAAATGGGCCCACACCCAGCTTGATTTTGCATCCATTGCATACAAGCATGGAGAGTTAGAAAGCAGCAGCAGCACTTCTCAGGTGAACTGCACCCGCTGAATGACTCGCTGAGCGGCGGCTCGTTGGAGGTAACCTCGTATGTCGCGAAATTTCGAGACGTTGCTGGCTGGCCAGTGGTCCAGCCGCCCAGTACAGGCGAGTCGAACCGGCGCATGCGAGAGCGCGCCCAGCGCGCCTGTCCGAGCGAAGGGAAGGATGCGTCCGGAAGCACTTGTAGGCACTACGCACCACCGCACCACCGTTTGAAAGAGGCTCGGACCGCGGCAAATTTTACGGAAATCCGGGACCAGAACCGGGTAGTGCGGGTTTACCCGCGGAACCGGGTACCCGGTTCCATGCCGGGTACCTGGGTACCCGGGTAATACCCGCCGGAACCGGTTCTACCCGCATTGACAGGTATTACCCGGGCGGGTGTGTACCCGGGTAAACCGGTTCTCCGGGTTAAATTGAGAGCCCTATCCTGTAAGGTCATGCTTCTGGTTCAAGTGAACTTTCCTAAATTTATGTCATTCCATCTTAAGAGAGCATTTTGACGTCATCTTCCTACACAACAACTATCATTCTCATTTCAAATTGATGTTGTTGTTACCTATCGATATATCAAGTTGACTACTTGTTGTTACCTTTCGATATATCAAATTGACCACTTTGTTGTTACCTGGCCAGGCTCTCCTGTAGGGCGGCGGCGTTGGCTGCACTTTCCCCGGAGGAGGGGGGGGGGAGGGGTGACCGCCACAAGCATCTGCCTCATTCCCTGTAATTAGATTTATGATTGCAGGCCAAGCTCCCATGCTATAGCACTACAGGGCTCAAAGGGGCGCTAACCAGATTGAAGATTCAGCTCTGGCTCCTAGTCAGGCCATGACACCGGCTCCGGGAGGAGGGCGCTCGAGGACATCGACCTGGTCCGCAGCACCAGGCCGGGCACTTCGGGCAAGCTGTCCTCATCGCTGTCGCTACCGCCTGCAAGGAACCAAGCTGTAAAGCGACTGGAGAGGACGTTAGGATACGCATGAGGTAGAGTCGCAACTTTCTTACTGGTGGTTTCAGCTGGGAGGATCCGCTTCCAAGGACGAATAGGGGCAGAACGGCCCTGAGAGGGACCCGGAGAGGCGCTGCTGCTCGTGACCCAGGAAATCAAGATAAGCGAGGTTGACAGCTTCACGTTCCTCCCAGAGTCGGAGCTGATGAGTATAGGGCTTGGTGAGGTGGCTGGAGTGGTCCTATCGGCCACTTGGCGCTGGGACAGCTCGATTCGTGAGTCGGATAAAAATAGTGGCCTCTTCTGCAGCGGTGGAGCGATGGGCGTCAGGTTTGGGTGCAGGCTGCCGGTGCTGCCCGGGGCGGCTGGGGCTGGCATCACTCCCAGGCTCGTGGCTGGAGGTGGATGGCCTGGAAAGGGCTTCCTGGCCCCTTCGACGCTGGGGTTAGAAGTTAATTTCTGCACCCATCACGCCGTCGTCATCAGCGCCCGGGGACGCAGGTTAGATTAAGGCCACAGGTAGGCCGGCAGGCACAGGTGCTTCGGAGACTCCCGCGGCGCGCGGCTCCACTTGGGGCGGGTCGAAAGAGTGCTCTCCATGAAAGCGCAAAAGCACCCCCTCACGACACCCCCACCAGCCGTCGGGCGAGGTGGCTGGACACAAAAAGGAGAGCGGTTAGGTTAGCGAACACTTGCCCTGATCACACTCTCAACTATACCATTACTTACAGTATTTAGGCGCCCTGACACTCCTAGCAGACGGTACTGCCCCTCTGGAGCAGTCAAATCAAGTCTGGATTTTCAGTCTAAACTTAGAAAATTTTGAGTAATGGTCTGAAAACAAGATGCAGACTGCCGATTCTGAAAAACATCTACTGAATTTTCAGAATTTTTGTTACAGTGTTATTGATGTTAGCTTATGAATCAAGTAACACACCTATGAAAAGATACATAAGACTAGCCCTAGAAGAAGTTAAATATACTTCCAGGCATACTCTGAATGACTCCGAACGTGTTCGAACAACAAATAAATGTTTTTTTGGTGTTTTTTTGCTTTTTTGCATGGAAGTGTACACGTTTTATTAATGATGTCCCACCATAAAATAAGCCCGACCACCGCCACACCGACGCGCACCTCACCGGCACACGGCACAGTTTTGTTACAAGTGTATTCACTCTTCGCGGCGACTTATTACTGTGTTTAGGATGAGTAAACCAAAGTCTGTTCGTGTCACGCGAGCCAGATGTGAAGTTTGGCTCGTCGGACAGTGCTCTAATGAGGTGTTAGCGCCGAAAGGGAATTTAAACTGCCCACAACGCACGATGTCCTCAAAACTTTCTATGCTAACTTGCACGCATCGAAAGGAAATTAAATGTATCGGCTGCCGCTGCGGCGGGAGATACTGCAGTGCAAGTTATACGCTTATGAGAGAGGGCAAGTATTCCTACGCGAGAAAAACGAAGTGTGGTACAGCTAATCTTAAACCTGCACAAGCGTCACAGTGGTTTGGTAAAAGATAAACACCTGAGTGGGCGTGTTAAGAAACCAGGATCGCAGTTAGGTGAAACGCACGAAAAAAAAGGGACGAATTTGTAAATTCTATTCAGGGCCCGTTCGACATTGGCCACAAAGATGCATTTCAAATTATGACCATTCAAGAAGACATAGACTTCTACAAATCAATGCAAACTGGTCGACAAGGTTTCATGCTTGGCATCGATGCAAAATATCGTGCTTAATATAAGAAGATCGCCGCTAAAGAATAGAAAAAAATGACTCCTAAATTGAAAAGTGAAGTTGCGAAAAATGCAATCCTCGAAACACGCCAGCTGTCCGGGTTGTCGACGGAAGGAGAAGGCAGCAACGCAGATATAACTGATGACGGTGAATAGTAGCATCTGAAACAAAAACAAAACAATTAGTGTGCCTCAGGTAGTGATAGCGAAACATTAACCATTTTCAACGAATACTTTAACACAATTTACTCCTGATATATCAAAAAAGACGGTCACAGTGAATTTTTTCAAAAACACGCTTGTGACTTCTGCTTTGGCCCGAACGTCAACGACGCATTATGCTGGGACGATGATACAGAAAGCAGCGGTCCAGGCCGCAGTTACAGATCTCGGCGTTGAGGATCGGGAAGTGAGGATAGT